ACTTTTGTTTGACATCTTTCTGTACATTATGTGAACTCTCCATGGCATTCAAAAAATGTGTCAATGCTTCGCTTGTAAACAGAGGAAGTTTTGTAACTTTCAGCACCCTTGGACCCGAAGAACTTTTTAAGTAGTACCGTGGTTCATCAAGGAATACAAATTGATACATAAGCATCAGGTTCTCAAAGCTTTCATCCAAAGGCTCATAAGCATTAATCATTGTCAGGTCTAGATCTAATGCCACTTGCATATCATATAAACCCAAGTTTCTGATGTAAATCCCCATTGACCTTCTTATTCCCACTTCAGCCCAAGAAAGGTCTGCTTGTTTGAAATTCTTCAGGAGGAAAAATTGATCATCTAACTTCAACCTTGGAAAATTAGCACTAGAGATCTGATATACACGATTGTCTGCTCTCATTATTTATAAATCCAAGTAATCCACAGTAGCAAAGGATCTTACGTGGAAATTACAGACTTCAATAATTGGGCTATTTATATTTGTCTCGAAAATGTTTCTCCTTAGTCTGCTTATCATTTTGGAGTACATCATCTACACTTCTCCAGGCCAGTTCCCATCAATTTCATGTTCCAACATGACTTCCTCCTCATCGTCTATTCTGAACATGTGGTTGTAAGACTTAAAAGAGCTGAAAGAGCCATCAGGGTTATGAATAACCATTTTCGAGTCGTCCGAACAAGTTGACTCTGCTGATTCGGCTGTTGTTTCTTGTTTTTCCTCCAGAGGTTGATTGGTTGAGGGAGTAAAGAATTTTTCATGAATTAATTGAATAAATGAATCAAAAGGTGTGAAATGAATGATTGCAAGACATGAGTTTTGAAAAATATGCTCATGTCTGGGTTCTACCTCATCATTTGGGTTTTTAAAGTCCCCATTTGAACTAGGAATGGCGATGGTGTCAATTTTTTTTGTTTCCATCTTCTTCGTCTCATTATAGCCTGCTTCAGTATTATCCACATCCATTCTGTTTTCATCACTATTTCCCTCTTTAATGTTCTCTTCAATTGTTGTATCTGCATTAGATGCCATTCGCAGTGCTGTTGCCTCTTCTTGCCATTAGAGTCATCATCTTCATCATGCTTCCTTTTAGATGACTCAGTTTCTTTCTTGTAACCCATTTGTTGAACATCTCTGCGTATCAACACTGTCATGTACCTTAAATCCGCCAAATCTGCCTTCATTTCATTCAGTTGAGCAGTTGTGGAAATTTTTTTGGTATGAGGCATGTAGGCTTTGGGAATGGCAGGAATGGGATTTCCTTCTGAAGCGGATGGATCAGTTGGAGGTTGGATTGGATTTTTGGTTCTAGCTTGTGTATTGGTGTCATCCATTTGAGACTATCTGAGGGTATATACTTGACTAAGAATGGCAGCTTGGTTCTTAGCTTGTATCTCAATCATCTTATGAGACAAAATGTCAAAGTTTTTGAGGATACAGCTCTAAAAGACCTGAAGTCTTCTTTCGTCATATAGTTTGATTCTAATTTGTGGAGAGTTGTTTGGATGGTTTCTGCTATATTCTTCACACTCTTCAATTCATTTTTTGTTAGAAGGACAGAACTGTCAAGCCCATCAATTTTTTCCACAATTTCCTCCATTGACGTCATCTTCTCGTGTAAACTTCTTATTTCATTTACAGCCATCCATTCATTGATTTTAGAGTGAATCTTTGCAAATTCACTCTTACAAAAGACACTGAAGTTTGGTAAACTCCGTCTGTGTGACAATCGTTGATAGGAAACCAGGATCAACAAATGATCCTGTTTCCAATCCCACAGCAGGTGTGGGTTGGCCTGTTGATGTGACAAACGCATCATGTACAACAAATGTACTTGGAAGTGGAATTTTTTGATGTTCATTCCACCGGGACATCCACCCAATCCTTGACCATCCGTAGAAGGAATGTCTATAGGTGTTAGGGCAGGTTGACAAACAACCTGAACAGGTACGTCATGAAAATGTGTGCTGGTGAAAGGAAGATCAGCAGTTTCTGGGTCTACATTTGGCTCAATATGATGGACTTCCCGACTCAATGTGAGCAAAAGAATGATGAGGATGAGACAAGTGTTCCTCAATTTCAACATTAGCTTCCTCCAACTAAGGAGCTAATGGATTATCTTTGGTTGTCTCAAAATGTTTAGTGAAACATCGCCCTTTTGAGAAGGCGATGAGTGGGTGGGTAGGGTTGATATGAGTGTCGGCATGGGCTCAGTGCCTTTTTCAATACCTTCTACCAGAGAATGTGGAGAGGTAGCAGATGTGGGTGCCCGTCTTTTTGGGGATGGGGCAGGGTCCTCTTCTTTTTTTGACCCTATTCTATCTAAATGCTCTTTTTTATCTCTTCTACCCTGTCTCTCATTCACATTTTCCCTTATCTACACTTTTAGGAGACATAACCCTCTATGTCTCCTCCCCAACACTCTTTTCTTTTGACCCTTCACCACTCGTCCTAGGTGGAAGTGCTTCTTGGGTAGGGTTTGCCGGTTCTGGCAGTCCCATAGAAGCGCAATATTCTCTAAGTACCTTATTATCATTCCAAATATATGCTCTTAATTCCAACGGCAGTGGCATATGATTTCTAAAATTAGAAAGAAGAGTAGATAACCTCAGTGAATCCATGTAGAATTGTGGGGCCATCTCCTCCTCTTTTACTGGAATGTTCGGTCGTAAGTGCATTTCCCCCTTCACACAAAGTTGGAAGAATCTCATAAATGGTATGTACCTAGGTGGCTTTGCATTGTATGTTTTAATTTCTTCCATGAATAGTGATGCATAATCATAATGCATGTTGAAAGATATTCCATGGGAGATTGTTAATGTTGGCCTTGATGCTTGATCCAGGCTTGAAGCTTTGGGAGATAAACATCGATTGATACAGGAGAACAAGCATTACCAAACAGGTGGTAAACCTTTCCTCCTGAAACTGCTTAGTGTTGAAAAGGGATCTTTGTATCCCAATGAGATCAAGTCTTTAATCATCTTCTCTTGAGATGGTAGGGCATCAAAATCTGATTTTCCCAACACTTCATTGTTATTTGGAAGGAAGAGCATCTTCCTTATCAGTTCAAGGGACAGGGAAAAACCGTATCCACCTACAGTTGAAGTAATCTCATTTTGTTCCTCATCATAGGTTAGATTCTTCCACCACTGTTGAAGATATTGAACAGGAACTTCATACCTTCTGGTGAACATCCTTTTCAGAGGGTGTCTTTTAAGCATCTCAATAACAATTTGATGCTCGGGTTTGAATTTTTCGGAGTCCAGATTTAGGGCACTGTTGTTTTCCTTAATGACATCATATTCAAATTCCGGTAAAATAGTCTGACTTACATCTGGCTCTGCAATAGCTACAGATATAGCAGCAGTCTGTGCTGGTTGGCTTTCATGAGCATCTCCCACTTTCCCTTGAGATTCAGTGGGTTCGTGGTTGTGTTCTTTAGGCTTTTCAGTGACCTGTTCGTCATTTGGCACCGGAATCGGGTCCGGATGATTGAATTCGGTGTTAGCTGATGGAGATTGGTTTCCTAAAGGAAGGGAGACATGTTTCTGGATAACAACTTTAATGTTTTCAATCAGGATAGAGGTACCCTGGTTGACCTCATTGTCAGAATCAGAAGAAAAAGAAGGTTCGAAGAAGGTTTTGGTGGTATGGATTGTTTTCTAGACGTTGGACTATGAGTTAGCCATTGATGGATTGCTTTGGTGTTCTATGATTGCAAGAGGTAAGTTCATATGAGGAAAATGAAGGCGGGACTAATGACGCTTCACATATATGGAGTCTATATTTGGTTTTAAATTTTAATAAAGAACTCGAAAGGTTTGTTTATAGAGTGACATGTGGAAGTGTAGAGTACTTATTGGACTCATTAAGCGTGCCAATTTAAAATCATCGTATTTTATAAAAATGTTTAATTACCACTACGATGTAGGTTAATGGTTGGTCGTATCATATACGAACACATGGTTGACAACAGTCTTAGGTGCATTTTAGGCGAAGGAATGTGTTGAAAGTCTTGAATGTCAAGAGTTTGCTGATGAACTTTGAATTTCATTTCAGTGTTGTAGGTCTGAATGTGCCCAGATCTGGAACTCTGATCCTTGCATTTTCAGACTTAGTACATCTGAATTACAAAGACTCGGTAGGATAATTTTTTCCCCCCAAGCGATATTTCCATATCTGTATAGACTTTATACACTATCTTTTGTTATGTTACAGTAAATATTTGTAAATTAACCGTTAGGAAAGCCATCAAGTTGTTAAACTCCATATCAAAATGTTCAAGTCTGGAATGTACAGAGTCAGTTTCTTGCTTCCGCACTTATAACCACCATCTTACATCTGGAACCAACTTCAAACTTAGAAATATGTATGCACAACGGACGGCATGGGAAGACTTCCTCAGCCTACAGATTTGAACGTACAAAAAATTGTTCCAGACTTGCAATCCGTATTACGAAGTCTGGGTTGGGGGAAAACTTTTTCCTAAGATCAGACTTCCATATCTGTATAAATCTTATAAACTACCCTTCGTCATGTGAGAGTCAATATTTGAAAATTAGTCCCTAGGAAAGTCACTAAAATTGTTAAAGTCCATATTAAAATGTTCGTGACTGAAATGTATATAGTTACTTCCTCACATCTAAATTTATAACTGAAGCCGTAAATCTGGTACACCACGTTCGTACTTGGACGTGGACAGACTACACAACTTCAGAATTTTCATAAATTCATAAACTCAAAATTTCAGTTATCGTCGGTTATAATCTCCATAAAATCGGGAATTTATAATCGTGGGATGTGGGTTTAAATTGTAATTCAATTTCCGTTCTTCTCACTACTCAAATTGGCAACTTTTCTCAACTTCAAACCAGAACAACAAAAACGAATTGCTTACCTCCTGTGAGGTATGATAACTTCTTTTGATTAACCTACTTCAAAAATTTGGTTAATTAATACATGTTTTTCCTTCTACAAATTAATGGCTGTGAACAATATTACATTCATTCAAGATCTTGACATACAAAAGGATGACTTCACTGTGAAGGTCCGAATTGTTAGACTGTGGAAGCAACCAGTGTTTAAAAACCCGAATGAAATATATTTCTTTGAAATGATATTAATGGATAAACATGTAAATTCTTATATTTTTTTCAAGCTTTAGTATTGTCAGCATGATATTGAATAATTTTCTAAACTGTTTAAGATCTTCACATCATCACTACTCATTGATTTTTCATTTTTATGTTATTAGGGCACTAAAATACAAGCAAATGTCCCACAAAAAAGGGTTCCTAAGTTCAGGAACTTAATTCAGGAAGGGGCTACAATTTTCGTTAAGAATCCTACAATTGCTCGACATGCATCGAAGTACATGTTAACTGATAATACAAACAAGTTAAGTTTGTATTACAAAACTTCTCTGTCAAATTGTCGGGATTTTAAGGGTTCCATTTTTGGTTTCTCATTTGTGAAATTTGCAAATCTTATATCCAAAAGTATCCTAGAACATACAGCAGTTGGTGAGTGAATTAAATCCTTTTACATTGATTGTATTGTTTAAATAAACTATATACTGTACTGTCATTGAAGTTAGATGTTGTTATGTTAACTTTTTGATAATTACATAGATGTAATTGGTGATGTTATTGCTTGTGAGACAATGGTGACTTTTCCAGGTAATAATGGAAAAGCCAAAAGAAGGATGCAGGTTGAGATGCAGGATTTGGAGTAAGTGTTTTACTTTAATTTACTAACAGTGATCTTCAGAAACTATATAATTCTTTTTTTACAATTTATTTAGAGGGATTAAAATGCAAGTGACATTGTGGGATGCGTTCACTCAGGAATTGAATGATTATGTTTCTACTAACAAGGACAACGAGATTGTTATTCTTGTTATTCAGTTTGCAATGGTCAAAATTTACAGAGGTTTGTCTGATTCATAACATATATAGTTCTTTCAAGCAATGTTGTGTTAACTTGCTTCATTTGATTGTTTCAGAAAGACCATTTCTTTCTAACTCATTCAATGGAACGAGGTTGTTCACCAATTCGGATATTGATGAAATCAAGGATTTTAAGAAAAGGACAGCAATTTTTATTTATTATTTATTTTTGTTATATCTTATATTTCCCTAATATACATTGTTGTTTACTTATATTTCGATTCAATAGTTTGATTCGGGAAAGTGGCGAATCTAAATCGTCATAACAGATTTCAATGCTCTCTGGATTATCTTATTCATATCGTGAAGATTTTCTAGACGGAACCAGTAGAGCAAACATTGTTGAAATTAGTGAGACTGTTGAGGTACTTATTTTTTTAAATTGTGTCTATACATTCAGTAATTGCATTTTATCGTAACATATCGTACTTTATACAGGCGAAATCACTAATTATATTAGGAACGGTGAAAGCATTTAGGAAGGATGTCCCTTGGTTTTACATGGGTTGCACGAGGTGTAACCGCAAGGTTCGACCCATGTACACTATAACTGACAAGGATGATGGATCTGGTATGAAAGAAGAGAGTGAAAGTTTTGATTGTATGACTGACAGACGTAGAGGTAAAATGACAGGGGTGTTGACAAAGTAAGTAACAATTACATAACAGTGCTTTTCATTAACTTTTGCACACTCACATTAATGCTCACTTAATAATCATGTAGGTTCAGAATTTCTTTGAGAGTTCAAGATGATACTGGAATTGTATCATTGACATTATTTGATCGAGAAGCTAATAAAGTTTTGAATCAAACGGCAACAGAGTTGTTTGAAAAAGTTTGAGAGGTATGATTAGAAGTCTTATCTTTTTTCATAAGTTATTTTTTTGGACTCCAAATGCATGTTAATGTAAAAGTTGTTTTTTTTGTTAGAGTGGTGATTTAGATATGTTTCCGGATGACTTGGATGTTTTGCTTGATCGGAGGTTTGCAATAAAGATTGACATAACTGTTACAATATTAAAAACACCTGTTTCATTTATGGCATTTCAATGTTAACAGATGATGATGCCAATTTGAATGAATTGGAGATGAGATGCGCTTCTCAACAGGTGCTGATTATCATTTGCAGAAAATATGATCCAATTTAGTCTAAAATCTTTGTTAGTCTAACATTATTTGACAATTTACTCTGCAGCCTGCTGAATCAGAATCAGTAAATCTGCATTCAACAGATTTCAGTTCTCAAGATCAGCTAAAGGTACTATGAATGCCATCTTCAATGTAATTTGTAAATTGAACTGAGCAACCAATTCTTCAAATGCAATAACTAATTATTGTTTTATTTGAACGATGCTGTTTCATTGACTGGTGAGAATGCAACACCATCCGATGTCGATAAGAGCACTGCAGACAGTCCGGAATCAGAAGAGAAGTTGTTTGATAGAAGGCTTGGGAAAGGATTTGATAGGAAGCGGCTTTTTGAAAGTTGGTCTGATGCCGATCAGGAAGGAAAATGATCGGCTATAAAAACATTAAAGATCCCTAAATTTGAAAAGGAATATTATTGCTTTTGATGAACAATTACATTGAAACTTGTATTTGGTATTGTCTTGGTGGTTGAATTTTAGTTTGGACAATGATTTTTGCATTGGTGATTATGTTATGATACACACTTTCATTACTATTTGTGTTGGATCTGATATTAAACTCATTTGCATTACATAATTTGGTAATGCTTGATTTTCATGTTCATGAAAATTATATTTGGTTGTAAATATTTAACTATATTTGGACGAAGAGGTTTTGGGCAGATGAATAACAGGCTGTACATGATCAGATGGGCTTTACTTTGAATCCTTCTAGGCCTTCATTGATTTATTGCACGGCCTCTGTATACTGCATGCAGATATTCAGACTCGCTATACAGAGCTCTCAAGTATGCAGAGTTGTTCTTCAGCCTACTTTGAAGATTAGAAGCCTTGTATTAAACTTAGTTGCACTTGCAAATTAAGTCTAAGACTGGGAAGGTAAGTCTCTATAACTCCTTTGCTTGGTCGTTCTTTTCCCCATCTGTGCTTGTTGATGTTTATTTGAAAATTCTGAAAAGTTGCAATACGTGATACACGAATCAGAGGGGATGTGATTCATCTTCATGCTTAACAAGAGGATTTCTGGTATTAAGTATTTACCTTTTTTTGGACCCAGAGGTTGTACAGACACGGACGAAAGGTTGTATTGCACTAGAGGAGCTTTTATTTGGGCTTACCTTTGGCTCGCAAGTCTACACAGAGACAGAGCTCTTACTCAACAGTTAAGTGTATCATATACAAAGGCAGTCACGTATTTCGATGATCACAAAAGCTTCTAAATGAATACTTATTTCATGAACCCTAGGTCTGATATCCTTTTCCAGAGTTAAATTAGATGGTTACTCAGAGTCGTAAATCTGTAGGAAACTTATTTACATAGAGGCTCTACATTGAACATGTAGAGCCTCTATACAGGTCTGCATTGAGTATGGAAGCAACTTCAGGTGCATTGCATGGTACATGCAGATAGTCTGCATAGTTCTGTATGAAGCACAGAGTCAGGATCAGAGGTTATACGTAGCACGTGGAGAGACAAATTTCTTACTCAAGAGCTAAGTGTATTATGTACAAAGGTCGTCTTCTATGTCAATTATCATAGAGATCATCTTACATGAAGCAGAGATACCACCCCTGGAGCCAGAGAAGGAGCCAAAATTATTCTAAGGTCAATCCATAATCTGTTGGAGTTTCGAAAACTTCTTAGGAGGTTCATCAGGCTTCAAAACATCTAGACCTTCTAGTCTTAGCATTTTTTTTGTTAACTTTCAAGCATTGAACTTTCGTTTCAATCGTATTGTACTTTCTGAATAGTTAATGTAAAACAGAGGTTCTTTTTAACCTCTGCCTTCAATTAGACTTATGTTTTTAATTCAAGTAAGAGCCTGCCTTCTTTTTAACTTCTGTTGGAGTATCGAGAACTTCTTATGTTTTTCTTCCTTTTTCCTAATTTAAGAAAAAAGATTAGATACAAAAACGTTAAAAATCCCTGAACTTTAGAAGTAATATTCGTGGTTCTGATGTACAACTACATTGTCTCTCGTATTTGGTACTGTTTTTGTGATTGGATTTTGGTTTGTACAATGATCTGTTAATTGGTCAATGTAGTATGCTATACCTTTACTATTTGTTTTGGATTTAGTATTAAACTTATTTGCATGAGCAATACAGAGGCTCTACACTTAAGTGTTGAGAAAGAGCTCTGTATCTTCATGTGCTACGTTGAGGCTCCCCTTCTTCATACAAACCTTAACAGAGGTTCTGCACGTGCAACGACGTCACTCTAACCCTGCCTCCGTGGTTCATACAGAGCTACACAGAGGCTCTACACTAAAGTGTTGAGAAAGAGCTATGTCTCTTCATGCCCTACGTTGAGGCTCCGCCTCTTACTTTGAAAGTGGACTTCAAACTTGTAACTCTGGATCGTCTGAGTCTTAATTCTGGAAAATTTATTCACCCTTGTGTCTGTCAAGCCTCACTCCATTCTTCATACAGACGTTGTTGGATCTGAATTCGACTTTGGTATTGATCTAACACTCTAATCAAGCTCTAAAACAAAAGAAGTGCAGAGTATTAAGAACACACAGTATTGATGAAGAAGATGAACACAAGAGATTTGCTCCAAAGGTTTTCAATTCATTCAATTGAAAAATTTGACGTTTACAATACTGGAAGCACACTGATTACAAAGATCCTATCCGCTATTTATACTAGTTCCTAACGACCTTAGAGACCAGATCTTGACRCGTGTCTTCATCTGAGCCRTCCAAATAAAKTCRATTATTCCCTAGTCACGTGAGAAGCATATGCGGCTAACAACCTTTGAAAAYTGTTGGAACARAAACTTCACARAAGACAAAATCCRCAGACCCTCTGTGAGCCATCTCAGAGGCTCTGCTGTAATTGACTTGCATGTTCTATTTGACAGAGGACTATTTTCCAGAACCTCTGTGAGAGACATCAGAGGTTCTGTCATACTTCACTTGTTCGATCAAACGGCTTCTGTCGCTTAGTTCTCTGTTGTCTTCTGTGGAGTTATCCTTCTGTCAAGACTTACAGTATACTTTTTCTATACTTTTACAAAATAGGAATAATTGAGCTAACAATCTCCCCCTAAGTATGAAAAAGTAATTTTAGACAGTTGGGTGCAAGAATTGACTTAATGAAAAGAATACAAGAGGAGATTACAATCATCCTCTGCAAAAATGTTATAGGCCTATACTATTACAAGAGATTACTCCACAGCAGAGTTTGGAAAATCATCTACGACATATTGCAGGTCAGTCTTGACAGTCTTGTAGACCTTGAAAATCCATTCTCTGAAGGAGACTTGTATCTTAATTGTTTCCAGAAGGTTGGTCACTTCATCCGCCCTTATTCGCCCTTTCTGCACCTTTGTCACCACCAAGTTGAACACCCACTCGAGAGACTCTGTGGAATACTTGTGCGTCTCTTTTGGATCGAAGAATCTTAGAATCTCATCCTTGTCCAAGAAAACAAACCCAAAGATAGGATTGTGGACAATGGTGTTGGGATGAAATCTAAGCAGCCAACTAGGTCTGTTCTTTGGAGGATAAATTTTCAGATCTGGCTGGGCCAACCTCATAGCAATGTCGAAATCTTTCTGGCTGTAGAATTTGACTTGAGCGCGCATTACCTCAATCATCCATCTGAGAGAAATCGAATATGTTGACCTCCTCTCCATGTATTTGTTTAAGATCTTGTGTAAGAATATTAGGTCAAATACGCAGAGGTTGTGGAGGTCAGCATCCGTGAAAGAGTAAAGGTTGCCATCATCCCTCTTCACCACGTATTGAGTGTTTAGCACGGTCTTCTTTAGCATAGTGCGTGGAGAAATGGTTTCGAGTGAAATGATCACATGCTCTGAGAAGACCTGCTCTGGTGGCCTGGTGAGTTTCGAGAAGTGGAACTTTGCAATGGCAGAGGGCATTCCTGTTAGCTCTGGGTCATAAGGGGGCTCTGTGTCTGAGGATGAGTAACGCTACCGCAGAATCTCCTCAACAGTGGTTACGGGCTCTGTGCGCACCCTTTGTGTAGGAATCTTGTTCATGGATTCAATGATCTCAGATACCCTCCCCACCATGGCAGACTCTGGCGTTCTGGATTCTTCTTTGAGTATAGGCCTCTAGGTAGACCCCTCAGGTAGGATTGGCTTGACAGTTCCTACCAGAGCGTCAAACGTACCCGTGGACGTTTCTTCCGGTATCTTTGCAAGTTTGGAAGAAGAGCCTTCTCCAACTCTGGGGATGGGGACTCTGCCCTTTTTCGCCTGTGCCTCTGCCAAAGAAGCCTTTAGTGCTCGAACAAGATCAGGGTCATCATATTCTTCTTCATTGATCTCCTCCAGCATGTTAGAGCTTGACCCCTTCTGTGGCGACTCCTCTACTGCTTTACCCTTGCCTTTCCCCTTAGGCTCTGGAGATTTGTCTTTTGAGAATAGGGCAGCAGCAGAGTCCACTATTTTTATTGGTTTGGCAGAGGTTGTCTTCTTTGGTTCTGTATTTTTCTCCCCCTCATGACGATCAGGGTCATCACCTCCCTGATCATCATGGATTTGAGTGGCCTCGGTCTTGCATGTAGTGAGGGGAGCCTTCTTCAATTGCCTTAGAACTTTGGAAGCCGCCTTCTCCATCTTCTCTATTACCATTTCATCATTCAGAGTGGCGGTGTTGATATCCATCTCTGTGGCCCATTTCATTTTAGAGATGCAACGATAGATTTCATTTCGGAATGATTCACCTTCTTTGACGAGTTGCTTCGTGCAGTCTCTAATGGATTCATTTGTAGCTCTGGCCTCTTTGAGAAGATGGCCGTTGTATTTCCGCATGGTCTCTCCAAGGGCTTCAACCATTGCGTCTAGCTCTCTGCGAGTGGCTAGATGGTTAATGTTAGCCCTGGAGGATGAAGAATCGATGCCATAAGTGATCGCAGAGGAGAACGTCTATTTGATCTCATCCTTGAAGGCAGAATAGTTGGTGTAGCCGGCGGAATCTACATCTGCGGCATATTGGGCGGCAACCTTTGTTAATTTTGTTTTGAGCGTGTGGATTGAAGAGGGGTTGAGAGACAGTGCACTAAAGGCTTCTGTGAGATAATCTTTTTTGAGGACAGAGCTCTGAAGGGCTGATAAGGTCGCCTTGAGTTTAGAAGTTGTAGAAGTCAACTCCTTCAGAGCCTCTGTTAGAGGTGTAAGTGCCTTTGTCGTCGGTGAGGAGGAGAACAAGCTTTTCAACTCATCCATCCTCTTGAATACCTCTGTGGCGAAGGTTTGTAACTCCTCCTTCGTCACATAGGCACTTGGGGAACCTAGATCACCAACACATGGTAACCTAGTTGCCTTGGAGTGTAAGGCGCCCTCAGTGACTGATTTGGCGTAGTCATCTCGGGACTTCCACCAGATCCTCGGACAT